GCGATTGCACTCTGGTTGAGAAGCACATCTCGGCTTTTGGCATTCACCTTTACTATCACTTGGAGCTGAAATGCACCCTCCCCTCCTGGTGGGTTGCGCGAGACACGATAGCCATAGAATTGGGCCCCTTCAAGCGGTTTGGAGCCAAATGCCTCCAGAGCTTTCTCCCTGAAGTTGGTCAGCGGAGATTGCTGGATTGCGGCAAGCAGTGACTTGTCGGTGCACCTAGAGTCCAGTTCTAGCACTAGTTCGGCGACCAGAGGTGTGGTGAACGAGCATGTGGGCTTAGCTAACGTGAACTTGACATCCCCATCGATGACCAGGAACTGTATGAGTCTTTTGTGGCTCGTCTTGAGCTTGGTGTCTTCGAGCACAATTTCAAAAGGTCCTTGGATCTTGGATGCTAGGGGACCATAGACTGACACATCAGTGGCAGGCATGACCGTGACAGACGGTGCAAGTGGTTGGGCCTTGATGACATCAGCAACTCCGCTCTTTGGGACCAAAATGACTCCACCTCGACTTTTCGACGCCTGCAATCTGTGGATCTGGGAGACCGAATTGCCTGAGGAATCGACGAACGGATGGGGAGATGGCAGCTTCAAATCTTCCCACCTTGAGGCTTGATGCTGCGCTTTGGCCCACGGGTCGAAAACGGTGAGCGGATCAACCGCTGGCTTTGCTGCATCCACAGGCTGCATCGTCGCATCAGGAGGTTCTGGAGCCCCTGCTGCGAGGTATTCTGGCGGACCTGGCTTGTATAGGATGCGATGCATAAACATGGATCTGACTGCATAGGCGAGCTTGCGAAGCGAGGTGTCTTCGGTGCAATCAGCCCACGCTTCATTGGCATGCTCAAGGATTGAGCTTGTCAGTTGGGCAAATTGTGACTGCTCGAGGGCATGAATGAGTTGTGCTGCCACTTCAGGTGTGGGGATTCGAAACCGGTCAAAGATGCGCTTCAACAGGGCCCATCCACACATGCCGACAGGCGTGGGCACATCTGACACCACATGTGTGATGTTGGCTGGGTGTATCGAAAAGATCTCACCGAAGGAGTGTGCAATAGCTCTTGGATCAGCCCCGGTCGGCAGTGCATTTGCAAACAGGACAAACAAGGACTGACCATGTCGAAAGATGTCACACTGGACCCAATGGCTATGGACCCGCAGGGGAACGACAATCTCGGTGAATCCAACCAAGGGAGTTTGGGCTCCAGTGATTGATTTGCAAGTGGCTGACTGCATGTCCCACAGGAGGGGAGTGACAATGAGCGTGTGCGTTGCATAGGCACGGACAATGTCTAGTGCACTGTCGATTTCATCGCTGGCTGCCCACGTTGGTTCACATCTGAAGTCTTCAAACCGGCGATTGAGGTAGTCGAGCAGGAATGGCGGGGTTTCCCCTGAGAAGGGTGACAAAGTGCTTGCTCTTGTTTCTGGGTTCACCTCACTTGAATGCACATTGGTCGACAGCGGAATGGACACTGCAGACGAAGCCCCCGTTGTTGTCCTTGCAAGGTAAACCAGAAATTTGAATCGAAGTCTGGATGCAAAGCGGAGTAGGTGCAAATCCGCCTCTGCAGCATTCCAATCCTCCTGACTGGCTTCGATGGCAATGTGAATGGCTTGCAGCTTGGCGGGAGGGACCTCTGACACATCGATGGAGTCGGACGAGTCATCGTCGGGAAGCATGGCACTCCACCTTTTCAAGAGGATCCATCCACATAGGTTGTACTTCTGCTCTGGCCAGACTTCCGACACATTGAGTCTAGAGGGGTTGACATCGAAGACAACTGCAAGGATGGTACACAAGCGGTTGTGCAGTTCTGGAGGGATCTGAACGAAAACCAGCTGAATGGTCTCAGCAAGTCGCATCACCTCAACACCAGTCCAATGGTTGTCGATCAGCAACGGCATGATGGAGATTGCGTTGTTTGGGAATTCGATGGGAGCGCCATCGCTAGTTGTCAACTCGTTGATTCTGGTGTCCCAGAACACTGGTGGCAAGAAGGCAATGTGAGGTGTCTGCCAATTGTAGATGGCAGTGTGATGCCAAACTTCGTCTGATGCTAGCCACCCATTGGTGTTGCATGCGAACTCACACCGTTCAGCAAAGGTAGCCCCAGGAAGGAGCACTGTCCTTTTCCGGCACAAATCATAAACTCCACCTGCTCTGATGACTCCGCATTGGGTCACGAAGACATCACCGTCTGCGACAACACAAGGGTCTGTGACAGGGATCCCATTATGCAGCGCACCTGCAAACCTGGTAACATCACCTGGCACAACTTCGAAAGTGGATGTTCCGTCCGGCTGAATGGTTTCACTGAGGACACACGGTGCTTGGGCGAATTGAACTTGGTCACTGCTGCGTACAATGAACCCTGGTATGGCCCTTTGCCACCGAAAATTCTTGTGAAGCGGAATGACAATGCATTTCGTGGGTGGGATCAAGCATTCGAATGCAGTTTTCAACCGAGCTTGGAAGTGATCATCCCCTCCATCAAACGGTGTAAAAGCCCAAAAGTTCCTCTCTGCCCAAATGACGAATGTGCTGCCTGGTGCCAACGTGATGCAGTTCAGATTCTCGAGGGTCTCAATGGTCTGCACGAAACGAAGCTCCTCGATTCCCAGAGGAAGACTGAGGGCCTGGACGAGTGAGGGGTCAAGCGGTTGAACTCTGACTTCACTGTGACTGGCTGTGGGTGATGGCGGTTGGTGCTCTCGTCCATCCCACGCTCCAACTGTGCATAATTGGTACCCACCCAGGTAGAGTTCGAACTCGGCCGATTGCTGGAGGGATGTGATGACCAAGTCTGTCGGCAGTGGGTGCAAGGACACATGTTCAACCCGAATCTGCATCATTTGGTGGAACTGGAGACGGAACAGCATGGCAGCGAGTTCCCTAAAGTTCATATGGTTGTTGACCTCTACTGGATACATGTTGTCCAGAAAGTTGACGAGGACATTCGGGTCATGGACATGGAAGACCGGCTTCGGAAGGCTCAAGACAAACTGAACGACGTTGCGGATCCAAATGTGGTCACCTGACACTTCAAGAACCGTCACATCTGGGTGGATTCTGCTGAGCCAACACTTGCGAATGGACTCGTGGAGCGGAATCTGCATGCTTGTGATCGACGACAAAGCCAAGATGAAGCACACAAGGGCCTGTGGGACGCTAATGGCATTGCCGATTTGACGGAATGCTGTTGCAATGTCACTCGGAAAAGCTATGTCAGACACAGAGCCGAGCAACGCAATGAACTTGACTGGGTCGATGAAGAGGAATTCGTTGTTGACCTCCAGGATGCTGGCGAAGATTCCTCTCTTCTCTAAATGGCTGCGGTCGAGCTTGTGTTGCTGGGTATAGGACGAACAAAGCGTGGGCAATGGCTCTGACACGGACGGAATGCGTGTCCGGATGACCTGCAGGGCTGAGGCAGTAGAGTGAACCCGTGCTCTCTTCCCTGGCGGGAGCATGTGCATGTCCCCGTACTGGGAAAATTGGTCGGGCGACAAGCGCAACTGCTGCAAGACCTGCTGCGGGAGTGAAAATCGATATCGATCGTCGTTCCAGCTGACAATTGGCGGCACACAAAGGCGGATGAGTCCACTGACCTGAACCGCTGGGATGTCGCACCTGACCCAAATCGAAAGCCACCTGGTTCGGTGATGGTTGGCCAACAAGTGGTAGGGGAGGAGTTGATCCCAAACTTGTTTGAATCCTAAGTGGTTCATGAGAGCTCCAAAAACCGGAAAATGGTGGTGCGACTTAATGGCGTCTGCACACTCGAACATAGCCACGATGGGCTGCGTTGCAAACACTTGTTCGATTGCCTCGAGCAGTGCAACTCCGTGTGGTGAATCAAAGCCACCTCCTTTGCCTCCGAGTGACCACGACACGCATGGAGGGGAGATCGTGCAGATCATGTTGTATGGCATACGAAGAGCGTGCAACACTGTCAGATCAGCGATTGGGGCATCAATGATGATCTTCTCCCGGACCGCGTACTCAGCACTTGGAACAAGTGGAGCTTTGTCGATCTTCACACCGTGGTTGAGGCTGGCTGTCCGAACAACACGTGCATCCCAGTCCACATAAACCTGGCGGTCGATGATGAAGCCCTGATTGGTGGATTGGAGCCACTCCGCGGCTTGAGACCAACCACCAAATCCTCCAGCGAACATGTGGTGAATTGCCCAATGCAGCTCCGGGGCCAACTGAGGGACATGGGTCACCGTTGCTCCAGGCCTAAATTCAACAGTCATGGACTCGACGGAAAAGTGGCGCACCACACCAATGCAGATGATCCTCTCTCCACAACAGATCAACGGGTATCGGTTGTCGAGGCCCTCAAGGCGGATTTTGAAGTCACGCTTGGTATCCATCCAACGAAGGCCTTCTTTGGAGTGAAAGGAACAAACTTGGCCTATGATCCAATCATGCGACACCTCTCCGACCTCGATGGCGAACATCTTCCGGAAGCCCAAGTTCCAGTGCCATGAGTCATCAGGGAACTTGAGAAACCTCAGCGCCAGAGAGGTATCCAGCGCCTCATCCCTCAATGACGCTCCCCAAGGGAAGCCATCGGATGAACACATGGCTCTCAGACCCACGCGGCAGCAAAGGTCAACGGAACCGGATGGACACACTGGGGCGTGTCCTTTTTAGACACCGCACCCTGTGTGGCCACAGCGGCACGGTCCCGGGGTCCTAGGTCCTCCCTGAGGCCAAGGCCTTTGGAGCCAGAAGCCTGTGTGGGGGGGGTGATTCATCAACTGTCAACCTCCAATGGAGATCCACAGGTAGTAGGCAGTGTAGGGGCTTCCATTGGTGACTCCTTGGAAGGTGCTGATACCCAACAAAACGGCTCATTTATCGGTGTGGTGTTTTCTGTCAGGGCTGGATCTTCTTCCCATTACAACGACATCAGCGCCCTGCGCCTCTTTTGGGCACACCTGAGGCACCCCATCAGTTTGTCGTTCTGACCACTCCTCCTCAAACTCCTCCAGACCAGGTGGAGGCCGGACACTGGCGCTTTCCTGCGAAGGCGACACGTGGCCACGCCGGAAAAGACGATGGAAACTGCTCCAAACACCGAAAAAGAGAAAATAGGACTGGAAAGTGTGGGAAAGGACTTCTACTTCCAGGTTGATGTTTGATCAGCTCGATCTCACGAAGAAGGACCAAACCATGGAGTCGACTGAACAGGTTGACTGAACAACAAGAACCATGCAGTTCCGTGGCCGTGGGTCATGGCACCAGGATGCCTTGGTGGACTTACCTGCGAGGTCGTTAGCTACATGGTGGACCAGGGCTCCAGGTTTTGACCCAGCCCCACATCAAGCATCTTTAGTCTTGATTTTGGGGACACTCGGCCATTTTCGTGGGCAACCTCTTCGGTCGTGGCTGTCAGAACACTTCAACCAATAAGACTCCTGTTCTTACCATGCTGTCCAGGCTGTCCATCAAAGTTTTCTCGTACCAAACTGTTAAGTGCTGGCCTGGAACTCATCATCCTCGAAGCGCATCGCGAAGGACTCCTCATCCCAGTCTTCATCATCCTCTTCATCAAACTCCTCGGCGGATCGTTCATCAATCTTCCAGCTGGGACGATCGAACGCACGAACGACCCGCCGACCGGGTTCGACCAGTGAGAACAGAAGATGGAACAGGACATCACCTGTTTGATCCTGTTTGTAAATAGCTACTGTACCTGCTCTTTCTATCTCCTTCCTCGCTGTTCATCTTCTGCATCATGAGCTTTTCATCTCATCCTACTCCATCTGAATGCGACTTGGAGTTCTCCTCACCGGATCCATCGCTCGGTCGGATCTCCCAGTCGGACAAAAGCAGAACCTTTGGTGACGAGCAAGAGGAGACTCCCAACTGGGATAAAAAGCCCCAAAGCACCCATGTCTCTCTCTCTATATATATATATATGTTGCCCCCTAGATGCTACACACAATAAAATCCACACCTGTTTCCACGGCGTATCCCAAGACTCCATGAAATCCCCTTCATCGCCGGGCTCCAAGGCGTCCTGTCATCGAAACTCGAAGGTCGAGGCGCCCGGCCGTGGCCGCCGGCCACCGATGTCGAAAGTTTGCCCACCCTCCGCAGAAGTCCAGGTTTCACCCAACTCCTGTCTGTCACTGTGCTTATTTCACCTAGCTTTTTGGGGGGGTTTTCCTTGCCCCCCAAATGGAAGGGATAGACTAAGGGACGACTAGAGTAACATGTCACGTCAGCTCGTGCCCTGTCAGCTCTGCACCACCTCTTGACCTGAGACCTTAAGCTCTGTTCCTCAATCTTTCCAGCTGATGTCCTGACCCTTGGAGAGAAGTCAAAGAAAGAAGGGAATGGGAAGAGGAGGAGAAGGAGGTGGAACCACGACTTCATCAAAGGCCCGCCACCCGCCTTTCTTACCGCCGTCCTCCCAAAAAATGGGGCGCGGAACCCGAACGTCCGATGGCGAACGCGTTCGGTTGAAGGTGTCCTGCTCTGGGGAGTCTCTGGCATCAGCTTTGCCTCTCCTGGACTGTGTGGCACGTCGCCCCTCTCTCGGGCGTCGGACGTCGCCCGTCGAACGATCGGCGAAGCGAGCTCCGGGCACCGGCAGCTTCGGCGACATTCTGAGTGAACATGGCAGCCGCCATTCTGAGTGAACTGGCCACTCAAGCACAAGGGGTGGACCCCGAAACCCTCCATGGGCCTTCTACTTGAAGGGGTTGAAGGCATTTTCTTGCACCCCCGAGCCAGACCAGACTCGTGTACATGTAGCAAACAGAAATAACTGGTCTTGGGAATTTGGGGCAGAGGTCGTGCACACACAGGGGCAGCAAGTCAATCTTAGTTGATGCGATGTGTCTGCTTGTAGCTCGGGCAAAGTCCACAGACAGCACAATAATGGTGTGTAAATGGTCTGTTTCTGCTTGCCTTTCTGATCCCTGCGAATGTAATTACCTATGTACCAATGATACTTGCCGTCTCAGTCTCAGCGCTTCCCATGACCCTTTGGTATCACTCAAAAGGATATGTATGCATGAAACCGAACCAAGACAATACGAAACAAACCAAGCCAGATGCATGTTGTTTGAACTTACCAATCAAAGCATGTTCAGGTCGTGGCAATGTCAAATTTGAATTTGCAAAACAAGCATCATCTATAGAGGAAGTTTTATCTAATGTGTACCCTTTTCGCATCGTCGTATGCGTTACGAAGATGTCTGCCAAATGTGACGCATATGATTATACACAAGAGTTGACTCAGTTTACCTGGATCTGCATGAAATCGTATCCAACAACGTGTATGTATGCGAGTTAAACCATCTGGATAATATGGAGGTCTACATCCCAAATTCTTCACATACTCAGTTGTTGTGTGAGCCTAGATGGTACTGTCCTGGAAAATACTGTGGTGTGATGCTGAGAGCATCGGCTTGTCCTCTAAGTGACCTTTCCTTTCTTAGGCAACGCAAACACATGAGGGTCTTGATAATGGCAAGGTCTGGGATGTCTATTGGCATCAAGTTTGATCCATGCGGGAAACTGGACACCAGTGTTTTCGAACAATGCAATATAGCACGTGCGCACCACGTGATACCTACCTTGGCAGTGGCAGAGAGATTGGAGGCTTGAATCACCTTAGCAAGGATGGAAATCTGGGTGAACAAGACCTTAACATCCCATACATAACCAAACCTGTTGGCCAGAATCAGCTGTTGGACGCCTTTCTATGATACACATGGGCCATGTGAGTTTTCAGAATTTGGTGGAAGCCACAGGGTGCCAGATACTTCATAACTCTACTTGAACTTGAACACTATATACTTCCGAGAGGTTGAAGGCATTTAGAACACGAACGAACATGCCTGTCCGCAACCACCCAGATGCTGGAACCGCTTCTGGTCTTCTGGCAGCTCCACGTCTCGCATCATCTAACCCCGCGCTTCTACTCGGTGCACCGCGCTCCGTGCCCAAAAACACTCGGCCCCACCGGTCGCGCTGCACGCCACCGGTTTGCACCTGGAGGTGGGTCGTCGCTCCGAACGCCTCGGCTGAAGACAAAGTGATTGCCGCCGGTGCTTTGGGGAGGCACAAGATGTGGTTAGTGTGAAGCGCGGGGAGCGTCGGAAGTTCTGATTCAGTTCGGAGGACACCCCAAAAAAATGGGTTTCCTATATATATATATAAGTATATATAAATCCTTGGGCCTCCATGGCAGATGTCGGACTTGACACCTCCGCATGTGCGTGAGGCCCAGATTTTGTGGCATGCGTTTTTTCCAATAATATATATATATATATATTTATATTTATACCAGGAACCTCCAAGTAAGTAGCCTCTTAGAGGTTAAGGGCCATCTGTTGGAAGGTCCTAGTATCGGTGTCAGTTTCATCATGTTCAACGTTTAATCTTCGTCTCTGAGGTATTGAGAAACATCTCCGGTTCTCCCGAACTGCCTTGGACACATGTGACCAAGGCTTCACCTGGTTTCTTTCCGGGTGAGGGCCTCTTTCACCGCTTACGGCGGGATCCCCGGGACCGGTCTCGCTGTGTGGAAAATAAAGATTGATCAAAGACCCATCAAATATGCTGGTTCATCGCCTGAAACAGCCCGTAGTCCTTCAGTCGACACCGATATATCTCGCTGCGGTTGGAACCGCGAAGTAGCGTGGAATTGGTCCAGGCCTCCATGTGGCAGCACACAGGGAAGCAGCTCCAATGAGCCTGGCCAAGTGTAGAGGAGAGAGAATTTAGGCTTTGGGAATTCCCAAGAACAACCGAAGAAGTTTTGAGGTGAGTGGCCAACGCCACGAAATTTCAACACATCCGGACCTTGGGTTCAAACAGGACCCTCTGAGCACCTTCAAAACATGACCAGGACGATTCCGGACATTGCCAAATGCACTCATGGAAACCCCTTCCTTTGAGTCCTGACAATCTTCACCTTTGAAGCTCCAGCATTCTGAACAAGACACAAGAAGACCTCCTCAAAGGTACCGATCCGGCCCAAGTGCACCAGCCCATTCTACCCTTCAATACTCTTCCCATCACCCCACTCACTGGCCATTCAACCCGTCGTCCAAATCGCCTCGGCAGCTGGCTGCTGCTGGCCCCGCCCGACACGGCGCCCCTCCAAAACTGCAAAGGCCCTTGAGGCCCTGAGGGCCACGACGAGCGTCGGAGCCGCGGCACCCGCGGCGCCTGACGCGAGTGGCGAATTGGATCGAAGAAGAAGCCGGAGAAACGGCATGGGTCTTAAGTCTGCCACAGTAGGAGATGAAAATTATACCTGCGTTGACCCCAAACAGTTGCACATTTATCAAATAGGCCACGGAGACGAACTGTCAAACAATCCACGGCTCGAACCATTCCTACTCTGCTCGTCAATCTGCTTCGGCTGGGGACATTCAGGGTGTTGATGTCCTGCAGTGATGACGAATGAAGGCTCTTTCGAAAGAAGGCTCTCTTGTCAAGAGGCTCAAAGCAAGCAAGTGAACAAAGCACGACTGAGCCTTTTGAAGTTTCAAGATCCCTTTGTTCTGCGTGTCGAAACTTCTGCTTGCGTCGGCCGCGTCCGACAAATTGACACGCTTGAATAGGTTTGGCGCGCAACTTCCGCAACGGCCAGAATCCGAAAAGCTTAAAGCTAGATAATGAAACATAGCTGAGCCTGTTGGAGCTTCCCATTCTGCTCGTCCTTCGACCGTCCTTCTGCTTCAGCTGGCTAGCCAGGGTCTCGACGAGCAAGCAAGTGAACAAAGCACGACTGAGCCTTTTCAAGCTTCACGATCGCCGCGTTCTGCGTGTTGACAGTAAAGCTTGCGTCGGCCCTATCCTACAAATTGACAGGCTTGAATAGATACGGCGCGCAACATCCACAACGGCCATTGCACATAACGACAACAGTCCTCCTCCGCCTGTTTCTTCAGGTTCTCGACATGAAGAGGCGGTTCTGCTCTTTCAGCTCCTTCATCGCCTCTCCTCTCGCAGCTCGAAGCCCAAGGAGCGCTCGTACTTCCCGCCGCCTTTGCCGCCTTTCCCCTCCGGGCTTGTTTCTGCTCTTGGCTCAATTGGCTCAAGGTCAGGACCCGCAATTTAGACAAACAAACAGAACATATGCTAATCTACTGAAGGTGCTGAGCTCTACTGGCGTTTGACATTTGGCTTTATCAGGCTTTTTCAATGGTCAAGAGATGTTACTTTTTTGCTGACATGGAGCCGTTTGTGGAATGCCTGCATGTGCAATGCTCCAAGAAAAGGTCAGTGACCGCATCTGCAAGATATCACAAGGCTGCCAAGTGTTGATTGCAGTGTGTCTTTTGGAGCTTTGGTGCTGGTGCCGCTGCAGGGTGCCACTGCTATCAATCGCAGTTTGCACTCGTGGAGGCTTGGCGCTGGTGATGCTGCAGGGTGCTGCTGCCAGATGTTGATTGCAGGTGCGGGCGCGGCTGCAAAGGGCTGCTGCTATCACTAGCAGTTTGCGCTTGTTGCGGCTGGGTGCTGCAGGGTGCTAGTGCCAGATGTTGATGGCAGCTGGGTGCTGGTGCCACTGCAGGGCGCCGCTGCTACCGCTAGCAGCTTGCACTTGTGGAGGCTGGTTGCCGCAGGGTGATGCTTCCAGATGTTGATGGCAGCTGGGTGCTGGTCTACCGCTAGCAGCTTGCACTTGTGGAGGCTGGTTGCCGCAGGGTGCTGCTTCCAGATGTTGATGGCAGCTGGGCGCTGGTGCCGCTGCAGGGTGCCGCTGTTGGATGTCTATGGCAAGTCCCACCACCACTACAACGACCACACCACTATTCGCTTTTGAATATCATTTCTTTGATAGTGACAAATCCTATTGCTACTGCAACTACACGACAAGCCTGTCTACCATGAGCGCTACTAGTACTAGGACAACCTCTGGTACAATATTGAGTTTCCATTTCATGCAGCGTGCCAGTCAGTTCCCAAGGTTCGGGCCCCGAACTTCGCTTTAGAGTTTGGGCCACCACGACTGTCCGTAATAAAGCACCAATTAGAACAACCACAAGAGGGAGACAAGTGGGAGACAATTGCAAAAATCATTTGGCCAAGAGTATCCAAGCAAGGAGACAAGCAGGGAGACAAGTGGGAGACAACTGCAAAATCATTTGGCCAAGAGTATCCAAGCAAGGAAACAAGCAGGGAGACAAGTGCAAAGACATCCGGCCAAGTGTATCCAGAGTAGGCAAAGGAGACAGAGCCAAAATCATCCGGCCCAGGCATTGCAGCCCTTCAAAAGGAGCCCATACATGTACCTGTTTGGGGAACTTTAAGAAAACAATGAAGAATCGAACAAAGAAGGGAAGCAAACACAAATTTTGCCGAACTGTTGTGGAAAGAAACAACACCCGTGAGGGAAAAGGAAAACACCCAACACACCCTTGCGACCCCTTTGAGTGTCCTTCGAATCTTGCCCAATGCTAACGCCACTGCAATTCAATTGTAGGTCCCAACGTGCATCCAAAATGTTGAGTTTCATGTTTTGTGACAAACCTCTGTGATTGCAAAAGCATCGTATTTGTTCATCACTCTCTTTCAGGGCGTCAACATTGTGAGACTTTGGACAAAACATCATAGCCCATGGCTGTCGCCCATCATGGCGGC